TCCTCATGTTTAGTCGTGGAGCCACAAGTATTTAAGGTATCTTCATCGAGAAATTATAGTATAGTTAGATTAAAAGATTTTTCTTAAATGGGTATATATATATTGACTATTTTTTTGTAGTTTCTCTTTTATATTCTGATACCCTTAGTAAAAGATTTTGCTTTGCCATTGCTCATGTTCATCAACATTTTGTCACTCTTTTCTCAATCCTAGTGAGAGAAAAAAATGTCTGCATTCTATAATACCTACATTAATGGTGGTCTAGCAATTTTTTATATATATATTGCTTTGCTTGAAATTTGAAGAAAAAGATAAAATAAAAAACAAGTGAATATATGCATGTAAATTCCTGACCCCCAACTGTATTCATATTTGTTCTCTACCCTATGTTTACATATGGCACTCTATCATGCTTCTCTTAATTATATATTATATTATAATTGTGAGAAAAAGAAAAAGAAAAAGAAAGAAAATGCTCCACATCACAATTGTTTTTTAATGTTTTGGTAGATAAATAGAAAAATTTATTAGGGTGTAGGTGGGGGAAATTGGATAGGAGACAATGTGCATGAAATGTTACTTATGAAATTTCTTTTGTACAAGCTTACTAGAAAAGTTCATTTTTCTAATTTTCAAGAAATTAAAAAGTTTTAGATAAAAAAGATTTCGAAATATTTTGACCAATTAAACATGAAAAAAGAAAAAACATGAAGATAAAAAAGGGTATAAGCTGTAAACATTTGTCATATAATTTTTTTTCTACTAATGTAATTTAACCTATTGGATTATATCTCTTATTTTATTTTCTAGATTATCGTATTTGTTATAAACAATTACTGTCTATTATTGTGTGTAACTTATATTTTAAAAAAATAATGAATCAACACAATTTGTAAGTGGATTGATATTCCTTCAAAAAAAAAGAACAAGGAGACTAGAAAATATCTTTCAACCAAAAGCTATCATGAGATGAACAAGATTTTTTATTTGATAATCTCGAGTTTAAATCTTTTTTTAATTTTTTTTTCTCAATAAGTACTTTTTATGAGTATTAAGAGTTTTCATGTGAATATCGAATACCGAGTAAAAAGTGGGGAAAGGTTGATTTTAAAACCACTAACATATGAAACGTTTTTTTGTTGTTTTTTGGGTCAATATTCACTATGATTTTGTCTTGTGGCTTTTTAAAAAATTTGGAGTTTTTATAACAGAAATTGTCTAGGGCTTTCTTCTGGTCTCTTGTGAGTTGCTGTCTTTGTGTGTGCACTATAACATATAACCTAGAATCTTATTTGGTGGTTACTTCCTAAGTGTACTTTTTAAAAAAAACAAAAGTTTGATACACAAAATATATATCTCGTGTTATATAAAATTTAGACAAAGATCAGATCTCAAAGGTGTGATATAGACAATCTGTTTTAATATAAGAATTAGTAATTGCTTTTACAAACACACACACACACACATATATATATATATATATATATATATATAGATATCACAAGAAGATAACTTTACGGTTGCTCCTACACCTTCCCTTCAAACTTCCAAGTGTACTACTAATTAACCAATTAATACACTTTATTAGCATTAGTTGGAATTAATTAGTTATATACTTCCATAGGTCTATATTATTTAGTGTTTCTTACTCCTTTTTTTTTGGGTTCAAATTAAGCAATATTTTACATAATTGAGAAGGTATTAATATTAGTTTTATTTCCTATAAAGAGAGATATTACAAGGAGAAAACTTTACGGTTGCTCCTACACCTTCCCTTCTAACTTCCAAGTGTACTACTAATTAACCAATTAATACACTTTATTAGCATTAGTTGGAATTAATTAGTTATATACTTCCATAGGTCTATATTATTTGGTGTTTCTTACTTCTTCTTTTTTTGGTTCAAATTAAGCAATATTTTACATAATCGAGAAGGTATTAATATTAGTTTTATTTCCTATAAATATATATATATATATATATATATATATATATATATATATAATAGGTATTTTTACTATTTCTTTAACAATATTTTATATGCACATCAAATCTCTCTACTCTTTATACTTATATCATCTTAGAAAGATGTAAATTTAATTATGAGTAGTTAATCAAAATTCTTTTTAGCTAGTTTATAGGAGTAAGTAATTTATTAACAGTTGTGTCAAAGGTTAAAACATCAAATAATATGAATCGGAGGATGTATATACACACCAAAAATATACAATGAAGTGTACCTTGTAAAAAAATAACAAATTAATATTATGAGTTTAAATTATATACGATATTGTTGTATTACACCCCTTAGATGACATGTTTACTTTATTAGAGATGAATTTCGTATAGTATAGCTAATTATTCTTAAATTATTTACTTCACTTTAATGCTTAGTCTTATGTCAGAATTGTCTAATGTTTTCATTTCTTCTAGATGGCATTGCCACACTCAACCAAGCCATTCCCACAACCAACCACCACAACAACAATAACAACGCCTCAGTCCCAGACGATTCTGAATGCACCGTTCGTGAGCAAGACCGTTTCATGCCAATAGCAAACGTGATTCGAATCATGCGAAAAACCCTACCTCCACATGCCAAGATATCGGATGACGCGAAAGAGACCATCCAGGAATGCGTGTCCGAGTTCATTAGCTTCGTCACCGGGGAAGCCAACGACCGTTGCCAGCGCGAGCAACGCAAGACTATCACGGCCGAGGACGTGCTCTGGGCCATGAGCAAGCTAGGGTTCGATGACTACATAGAGCCCCTCACTATGCACCTGCACCGCTATCGCGAATGCGATGGCGGTGAGCGCGGCTCCCTCAGAGGGGAGCCACTCATGCTAATGAAGTCGCGGGGTGTTATGGTTGACCCCACGGCTTCAACTAGCATTGCTGACAACATGACACATATTAATTATCCCTTGCCACCTAATTTCACAATGGCTCATCATCATCATGGCTACTTTGCTTATGCACACATGAGTAATGACAATGTTGCTCCAAATTCTCAGGCTAATCATGATGAGACAAATAATAATGTTGAATCATTTGGAGAGCATAATAAGTAGTAAAATTTAGTACTAGGAAAAAAAAAAACTTGTACTAGTATCTTTTAATTTATGTTTTTATTTATCTTTGTATGAACTATTGTACTATTTGAAATTGCTCTTTTTTTCTATTTTAAGGTGATTTCCAATATATTCTGTTTATTTTTTAGTCACAAGTATAGTTATGGTGTCTTTCATACCAAAAAAAAAATAATACAAAAATGTATTTTTCAAAACCAATTTTTTTTTTTTTTTTGGTGTTTGGTTGCCGGAATATTTTCAAATAAAAAACAATTTTCGAAAAAGAAGAAGAAGAACGATATCTAGCTTCTCCGATCCTCCCATCTAATGCAATGTCTATTTTATTCTTGACATTTTTTAGTCTCCCTCTATATAATATGTTTTGTTACAAAAATTGTTGCTACTTTTTAATGATTGTTATTTTCGTATATGTACATTTAAGTATCTCTATTTTGAATACATATAATTTAATAATTTTAATTATATTTTTTAAAAATTCATACTAAGTAATATGATAAGTTGAATTCGGTCAAAAAAGAAAGGGAAAATGCATAAGTACCCCAGCCTATGCCCAAAATTTCTAAGACACGCCTAATCTTTACTATGGTTCTATTACCCCTTGAACTTATTTTATATATAATTTTCTATTCCTTTCGGCCTACGTGGCACTATCTTGTGGGCGCAGCGTGTGTTGATAATTTTTTCAAGGATAGTGCCACGTAGGTCGAAAAGGGGTAAAAAATTAATTAAAAAATTAGTTTAAAGAGTAATATGACCTGAGTAAAGATTAGGTGTGTCTCAGAGATTTTGAACATATGTTGGGTACTATGTATCTTCCCAAAAAGAAAAGGAGTGTTGTAATGATTAAGGTCCAAAATGTGTTCACACTAATGTGGAAATGTTTCCAATATTATAGTGTTCAAACTAAACGACTAGCACGATTTAAAATAATATAAAAGAGTATGAAAAGAAAAAAAGATAGGAAAACATAATTAGGCAATTGAATCAAATCTATCAAGATTTAAATTTTCAGCACTAAACTGATTATACTTTTAAAAATATGAGTTCACATTTTAGAATGTATTAAAGTAAATCAATAACATTTTACATAATATTTAAATTAAGATTAGATTCGAGTAACTCACCACACAAAAATCACTTTCACATTATATGAACTTTTAAAAGTATTACTATTAACAAATGTTAGGTTGTGGTTAAATGAATAAAATGACTTCATTTTAATTAGAGATTTCAGATTCATTTTGAATATAAAATTTTAGTTTTTAGGAAGCTTTTAAATAAAGAGGTCTTACAGTGCAAACATGAATTAGTTGGCCCCTCAATGGAGAGATTCTTCTTAAATTGACTTTACCTCGCGTGAATTCAAATTAATCGAGGTGTTTGTCCTCTAAATTAATCTTATATAATATGAATCTGAAATTAATCGAAACCTCAATACAATGATTTTTCCTTAGTCCTTGTGCGGTATAAATTTAATTTAATCAGAGATTCTAATACACATACTAAACATCGAGTGAGAGACAAATAAAAATGAAGTATACACGTTTTAGTATATACAAATATATATGAAAGGAACTATGATGTATAAACTAGGGAAAATGCATAAGTAACCCCAGCCTATATCCAAAATTCCTAAGACACATCTAACTTTTACTAAGGTCCTATTATCCCCAAGACTTATCTTTTAATTAATTTTCTACCCCTTTTTAGCCTATGTGGCACTATCCTTAAAAAAATTGTCAACACGCGTTGGGCCCACAAAATAGTGCCACATAAGCCAAAAATGGGTAAAAAATTATATATAAAATAAGTTCGAGGGGTAATAAGACCTTAGTAAAGGTTAGGTGTGTCTTAGAATTTTGGACATACGTCGGAGATACTTATGCATTTTTCCTATAAACTATTATATACATATAAAGACACCTCACAATCCACTCATTCTTTAGCTCCACTTTGCACTGTACTTGGTTGGCCTTTTGGAAAAAACCTAAGCAGAGATCAGAGCTAGAAATTCTTTTGCATTTTGGGAATCTAACACATTTGGGTCTGGTCAAGTGAGTTAAAAATGCGTTCTTTATCTTTTTCCTGTTTTTTTTTCAAGATTCTTGTAATATTTGGGGTTTTCTTGATTTGATTAAAAATATGTTCTTTTTTCTTATTTTCTGATGTTTTAGTGATTTTTGGATATTTTAGTCATCTGGGGTTGCATTAAAGGTTCGATTTTTATTCTGTTTTGCTGCTTTTTTAAGGTTTCTACTTAATATTTTAGTTAGACACTGCTATTGAATTTCTCTTTATTAGAGCTGAATTGTAAGGTATTATGTCATATGTTGTTGTAGCTGTCTGAGTTTTAGTAACATTTGACTTGACACGTAGTTTAAGAAAGAAACGAATACTTCTGAAATTTGTGGTGTGGAACACTTGTTAGACCATATTTGTAGTTATAAATCAGTTCATTAGAGGTAAAAGTGATTTTAAAGTTAAGTTGTTTCTAATTATAGAAACGTGACATTTTTTTTTGGACGGACTAAAAAGGAATGGGTGTCACATAATTTGGTACAGTGGGCATATTTAGTAGGATATTTTTATTATTGAAGTTGTGTGTCTAACTGAATTATAAGGCTTATGTGATTTGTTGCAGCTGTATAACTGTATTTGTTTTGCTAGAATTGTTCTTGTGATACCAATGGGTAAGCAATTGAGTGGGATGCTACTTTACCAATCAATTTCTTATGTTTTATCATCTCAATTTTGTTGTTTATTATCAATATTGCCTAATTTACCTATCATGAAATTGATTGGTAGAATTCCATGGACTGGTTAGGAATATGGTCGAATTCTGTCATGTAGTTTTATAAGCAAAAGTGCCACCTACAGACTCTTAAAAAATAATGTCGTGAGGTGTGGCGTTTTTGGAGGATCCAACAGGTGTATGACAACATTTCTGGATGGTCTGAACAACATAGCTTATAACAGAACGTGCCCCCCTACACCCTCTTCAAGTCAAGTGCTTGTTTCTTTTCTATATCCTCGAATATGTTTTACCTTTGTTTTTTAATAAGGGTAACTTCTTGTGAGATGCAGGTTTGGTACTGTTTTCGGAGTTTGTGACATTGCAGTAGTGGATTATGGGAGACAAATTAGGACAGATAAAAGTGACTGTTATAAAAGGAAGACGTTTGGTGATTCGGGACTTCAAGACAAGTGATCCTTATGTCATTCTTAAGCTTGGAAATCAGGTAGCTTTATGTTTCTTCCTTAAGATATTTAATCTGTTATCTCGTGTGACTCTGATCTTCTTTATTCTTCGAAAGTTAAGAGCTTTTACAAGGACGGTTTCAAATGCATACTCTAAATCCTAGTTAACAATAGTGATAATGAAATGTGATTGTCAAATCAAATTTAATTATTTGGAATTGTGTTGAGGTCACAAATATCGGAAGCAAGATCTCTACCTTCACCAAGTAGGGGTAAGGCTGCGTCCACTCCACTTGTGGTATTACACTGGGTATGTGGTTTTTGTTGTTGAGATCACAGATAGATTGATCTTTTCTTGCTAGTTATTTGCCTGTCTCATGGGGGTTGCCGGAAATAGGGCGTCTCTCTTTCGTTTACAACAGTGTGTTTGAAATTATTAGTAAAATTGCTCGGAAAAGATTATACTAGGCATAATACATAAATATGACCCTTAACTTGGCTTCAGCAGACAACTATGCTCTCCAACTTTGGGAGTGCACAAATAGACACCTAAACTTGTATAAAATTGAACAAGTAGACACACATGTCCTACGTGGCATAATACATGTAGGACGCTACGTACGACACAAAATTGCCATGTAGGGTGCCATGTAGGATGAATGTGTTTATTTGTTCAATTTATACAAGTTTAAGTGCCTGTGCACACCACACCCAAAGTTAAAGGTCATAGTTGCCCGCTGAAGTCAAGTTAAGGGTCATGTTTATGTATTATGTCATTATACTAATAGCATCTTTTATGTTGTATGTCACCTCAGACGTTTTGTTGCGATTTGTGGTTCTACCCTTTCACTTTGCATGAGAGTTTTGAAATTGCTTTTCTTGAGCTGACATCTATATTACATTTTACTGTTATACCAGACTGCCAAAACCAAAGTCATAAATAGCTGCCTTAATCCTGTTTGGAATGAAGAATTCTGTTTCACTATCTCTGAGCCGGCTGAGGTTCTCAAATTGGTATTTGCCCTTTACCTCTTAACTTTTGTTTCATCATCTCTTATGTTCCTCCTCTGCATGACAATTTCAATGACTCGACTTTTGTTAGATGACGTAACATTATTTTGTACTTTTTCTGGTGTTGTTCCTCTGTGTAATTGTTACACTGCATGTTTTTTATATGTTTGAACTTGAAGATCAAATAAAAGGTGCTCTGAAGTTCTAGCACCCTTGCTTGTCAAACAACTATATCTCCCGTATCTGAACGAGTGCATTGGACAAACAGGAAAATAGATAAATCTAGTGAAATAGTTTATTAGGGGGAAAAAGGACAGCCCGGTGGACTAAGCTCCACCACAAGGGTCCATTGTAACCAGCCTTACCTTGTATTTCTGCAAGAGGTTGTTTCCACGGCTCGAACCCGTGACTTGAAATAGTTTATCAGGAAAGATAAATGATGAAACTTTCACCTAAGGAAACAGAAATCTTTAGTGGTATGAGTGTATGTAGACTCAAGTATCGAAGAAAAGAAATTATGAAGCTTCTGAAGAGAATACTTTTACCCCATTTGTATCTTGTAGGAAACAACCATAAGTTAAAATTTAAAGTCAAACGTCTAGGAAGAAAATCAGAATGTCGTCAACGTCCAACTCTTTAATCTTATGCAATCGACATAGAGAAAAAGAAAAGAAAAAGAGGAACAATCTGATGACGATATATATATTGTATTACATATTGAAAGGAGTAATATTTAAGGCTATTTAAAGTTGCCATTTTGCTGAAATGAAGCTAAATAGTAGTTTTCTAGAGTACATTTATTTTGAATAATTTCTGTGAAATTCATTCCATGACATTGAAACTCAATTATTAACAGGAAGTGTTTGATAAAGACCATTTCAAAGCAGACGACGAAATGGGAACTGCTTATCTCAGTCTTCAGCCTTTGGTTGCAGCTGCTAGATTGAGAACGATTCTCGGGGTTGCTTCTGAGGGGACAACATTAAGGAAGGTTATCCCGAATAAAGACAACTGCCTAGCAATCGATAGCAGCATTAGTTGGGTGAATGGTGAAGTTGTGCAAGATGTTTGGTTAAGGCTTTGTGATGTGGAGTCTGGAGACATAGAGTTGAAGATCAAATTGAGCGATCTTTCCTGCGTTGTTCCAGCCTCCGCGTAGAATGGTTATCAGTGACATCGATGCAGGTCTCGTTTGAGCTATATACGTCTTGTTGTAGTCGGAAAAAGACGTCTAGTAGAAGAAGCGCCTATGTTTGACATTTTTCGATTGGAACTCAAACAAATGATATTTGTAGATTTTGATCAAGTATGTGCATAATTCAAATTGGAGTGATTTAAGAGGTGGAAGGGGGATTTTTGTAGTATTTGTTTTTATCAGTTTAATATCCGACACACATCTTCATTTCCCTTCTTCTTTTTTTAGCTTTCACCTTTTTGTTCCATTTGGTGACTCGAACTAACAACCTTCAGATTGGAGTGTAGAGTGCTTACAATTTGAGCAATCCCTCTTCTCGACATCTTCATTTTTCCACTTCCCTTCACACTCATCTAAATTTTTCATGTGTTCATGTTAAGTTTTATCAAATGCAAATTGCAATACCTGCCACCAAATATATATAGTTCATTTAAAAGTTGTTTAGAGGTAAATAAACACCTGTGTATTCAAAGTGCTAAAGTAAATTTTATTGTCAAGTTCAATGCTGATTTGATGAATTTTTTCATATATTTATGACTAAATGTGACAAAATTAGCCTATAAAATCATAACGGCTTTAAGTTTGAGTTGATTATTGACCCACATATTTTTGAAATATTTTTATGTAGAATATCATCCCATAAACTTTATTTACCATCTATTTAGCCTTATACAATTTTTTTTTAAAAATGATTGTTTAGTCATGTTATTTATAAAATAAAATGTCAGATGCCGCCTTTCTGTTTTTCTTCGTCCTCCCTCCTCCTCCTTGCTCCCTTCTTTTTCTTTGTTGTTTTCCTTTTTCTTTTAAAATTCAACGTACTGAATTGCAAACGTGAATCGTTTCGAACAAATTATATAAATATTTGAAATATTCAGAGTATTTCACATCTTAAATTTAGGAATGTTTTAGAGGATTTTTTGTATTGGTGGGAATTAGTATATTTCATGTATAGTTAACTTATATTCAACTTTTTGAGTTTATCATAATATATAGTCAATACAAGTAAATTATATTTTTTGAATCATAATGTATATTCAAAGTATAGTCCAGATATATTTTCAATGATTTTGAGATGTAAATCATTGGCCACAGACAATTGGACCGAGTCGGGTCATAATGTACTTATCATATAAGTTAACTTATATTCAACCTTTTAAGTGTATCATACTGTATAGTTAATATAATGTATAGCTCATGAATAAATAAACTATATTTTTTGAATCTATCATAATGTATAAACTATATTTTCTGAATATATCATAATGTATAATTTAGCGTATAATATACGTATATTTTCATGATTTTGAGATTGGTCAAGACAATCGGACCGAGTCGGGTCGAATTTGCCGCCATCTTCTTCTAGGGCCCAAAGCATTTCGAATCTCTTCCTACGCCAATGGCGACGGTGACGAAACTGAACCTGAAGGCGGAGACCGGCGACTGTCACCGCCTTGAGGCGGAGCAGAGTGAAGCTCCGGCGGAAATAAGCGATTCTAGAACAAAAAGAGTAGTTGAATTAGGAAATGGATGCGAAGTAATATACATGCCTAGGTTCCTAAATTACGATCAGTCATGGGATTATTTAGAATACCTTGACAGAAATATACCATGGAATCGTCCAACGATTCGCGTCTTCGGTCGATCTTGTATCCAGGTACTCATTTTTCTTCTGCCTTTCTCCTTCAATTTTACTCTGTTTGTATTTCTGTATGTGAATTGTTTAGGGTAAACTGTAATGTTTTAAGAGGCAAAAAGGAGACTAAAGTCTCATGCTTTATGATTTAGTAGTGCTGAGGAGAGGTAGAGGTAGGTCGAAAATATATTGGGGAGAGGTGATTAGATAGGAGATGAAACACGTGCAATTAATTTATCAAGGACATGACGCGAGATAGTAGGTTATGTAAGTCAAAGATTAGGGCAGAAGCTTAGTAGATAGATTTCTTCCATGGAGCTAGGAGGCCCAAGGTGTGAAAGGTTGACTATAGTATTGCTAAGGGAAGGTAAAGGTGGGTTGAAAAAGTATAGAAGAGAGGTGATTATATAGGACATAGCACATGTGCAACTTACCGAGTACATGACGCTAGATAGGAGGTTTATGGAGGTCGAGGATTGGAGTAGATTAGTCGAGCGTAGTCTAGGTATTGTTATTATTACTTTCTTATTATCTTACTCTTCGATTCTAGTATTATTTGTTGTTTCCTTTGCTTTGGTTATCGTATTTGTTGCTATTGCTCTTTTCTTCATTATTTGCATACCTGATTAAATATGCTTTACTTGAGCTGAGGGTTTATTGAAAATAAGTTCTCTACCTCACAAGGCAGGGTTAAAACCGTGCACGCTCTACTTTCTCTAGACTCTACTTGTGGGATTACATTGGGTATGTTGTTGTTGTAAATAGTAGGTCTTAACTTCTTCGTGTGTTTACTTATTTATGTTTTGAATCCTCTTAGTGGAAATCCTAATCTCCGCTATATTGCATACTTTTAAGTTATAGATAGGCTGCTTTGTATTTCCTTGTCTGACTATAATCGTACAGCTTTGATGTAGTTTTATGTGACATACTTTTTTTTTTTTTTTTTGAGGGGCTAGTCCCATGATAAGTAAAATGTTTCCACTTTGATCTTTTAGAACAGGGGGTGAATCTTAGGCAAGTTGACAAGTGCATGTGGTTCAATCTGTTCTCCAGATGTGATCCCTACACTGTTATGCTGACTGCTATGCGTATTGTAGGATTTCATGGATAATTACGTTAGAAAATCAACTATGTTGCATTTGGGTTGTGGATTTGATTGAGATTGATAGTTTTCAAATTCCACTGTGCAAATATAGGTGATAGATTGATATAGTTTATCTGAAATTCACGAACTACCATTACATAGATCTCCAATGCCACCCGAACGAGAGGGTTTGGAATGGAACAAGGGTGATAATTCAAACATATAGTTACTAGAAAGAGCAACAGAAGAATTTTCTAATCATTCGCTCCCATGTAGCTTATTCTCCCAAGAAATTTGTTGGGGTTGTGGTAGTGGCAAAACCATAGTAAGTTCGTTATAAAGAAAAGGTTTTTCTCCCTCGGAGATGGAATTAATGCTTTTTTCTCTTCCAAACTTAGAAGCTTCAACTGGGTGGAAAGCAACACACCAACCATAAAGTTTGAACGCTAAAGCTGGATGCTATTTTTATTCTCTTATATTGGATCGCTTCTGCACTGACTTTTTTTGAGTAATGAGAAAGCACATGGACAAAGATGGTGTTCAAAGTCTGAGTCTGTATTGTGGGCAGTTTTGTTCTGCCCATGACTGACTATTCAAATTCAAAATGTTGTTGTGTTCTCATGATGGACCGTTCAAAGTGAAAGTGATAGTATTGTTCCTTTACTCCCCTTTGGTGTGTTATATCTTAGCTTTGTTTGTCTGGCGCATGAATGATCACCCAAGTTGAAAATGTTGTTGCTTTACGCTCTCTCTCTTAGTGTGTTAGTTTCCCCTTTGCTAATATGAATGCTAAATGTTACATGTCATAACAATCTGATACCACATGTTCCTATGAGGAAAAACAGATTAACAATGTTTGTAATATTTCCACAGCCCAGAGACAGTTGTTATGTGGCAAGTGAAGGATTGCCACAACTAGTTTACAGTGGATACCAGCCTCATGCATATTCTTGGGATGAATTTCCTCCACTTAAGGATATTCTGGATGCTGTAAGCTTGCTCATCTTCAACCTCTCAAGTTGTAGTTCCCAGTGATCAAGCTAGTTGTCTTTCTTATACCATCAGTGTTGCACTTTAGGTCCATAAAGCTCTTCCAGGAAGTCGTTTCAACAGCTTATTACTTAATAGGTATAAGGGAGGCGATGACTATGTAGGTTGGCATGCTGATGATGAGAAACTTTATGGACCAACTCCAGAAATTGCTTCTCTTTCCTTTGGATGTGAACGTGAATTCTTGCTGAAAAAGAAACCAGATAAAGCATCCCGAGGTACATATTGATTATGTAATATCTTTTTATTTGTCAAATGAGGTGTGAGTATAGCAGACCTTCCGTTCAGTTACATATTGAGGTTCGATCTCTCAGATTATCACTCAACTAATAGGTTATGAGTCACCTTTGTTCTTGTTTCCATTTACTTTCAACAAACAATGTGACTTTCGGAGATAATAACTAACTATTGGTTGAGCGACTATCTAAGAAAACAACTCTTACATTTTGCAAATGACAATGCTGATTCCATGGAAGTCGTATTTATCACTTCCTCTTCTGTTTGTTATTCATTACACAAGGTAAAAACACCAGTGGTGAACCTCCCAGAAAGCGATTGAAGAAGGATGCCTTTCCAGACAAACACTCGTTTGTCCTAAAACACGGTTCATTGCTGGTAATGAGAGGTTATACTCAACGGGATTGGCTTCATTCAGTGCCTAAACGCGTAAAGGCAGATTCATTACGCATTAATCTCACCTTCAGGCTTGTTCTTTGAACAATCAATGCATTTCTTCATTGTTTATACCTGGGGGTTGGAAATCTTATGCAGTGCACTTAGCAACAAAAAGAAGGCGATTTTGAGCACCTGTGGTTGATGAAAATTACTAGTACTAGATATTGGTTTTTTCTTTTACTTATGAGGAATGCGTTTGATGCAGCAAATTACTCATTAGCTGATTTCTATGCTATGAACTATGAAGGTACGTTTCAGGTATAGGGAATATCCTAATGTCAGATTCCAAATCTGAAAATTAATGCATAAAGATTGAACCTTTATTTAAACCAGTAATATACAAGAAACCCAATATATCAAAAACCTTTACAAATATTATAGACTAAAAACAAACAAAATATGTAATTATAAGCTAGCGTACGTACCTACCTAGAGAGAAACAAGAGGGACAATTAAGAGACCAGTTATGCCAGAAGAAGAGACGGCTTTAGCTGCATCGGCTTTAGATAACATTTCAACAAGAGCGTAACTTCTCTTCTTATTCTTAGAACTCGAACCCATGATTACATGTTCAACCTCACCAAAATTACTAAACAACTCTCTCAATCTTTGGCAAGTATAATCTTCACCACCACTTTTACTCCAAGATACCTTAAGCACCTTTTCCTTGTCAACACACATCTCTGATGACTCTTTCTTTGACAGCAATATTTCACGAATCCTAGCAATTTCACCTAAAAGTTTTATAGCAATTCGTTCCTCCTCTTCTAATCGAGCCAAATTAATATCAGGTACAAAAGACATCATCTTTCTACGCTTTGAATCTTCTTGTTGTTGTTGATGTTGTTGTTGTTGTTGTTGTAATTGGATCATCTCATCAAATAACTTCCTCTTTTTGTCATCCTTGAGAATGTCATAGGAAGCCTTGAGCTTTTGAAAATTTAAGTGAGCGTTGATTGGATCATCGAGTCTCTTGTCTGGATGCAATTCTAATGCTTTCTTTCGATACGCTTTCGATATATCGATTTCAGAAAGCTTTGCCCCTTCCTCACCGGAGGGTAAATCCAAAGCACTATAATGATCAACTTCAATATCCATTCTACAACCCTAATTTCTAAATATTAGGAGGATTCATAAACAGACTTAGTCTATTTATAGGTTTCGAATTATTTTTTCTTAATCCTACAATGACTCCAACTACCTTGTTATTTCGATTCCTAATAAGTTAGGAATTCTATGCTACTCCATCCGTCTACTTTTAATTGTCATAGTTTCATAATATTTTATGATGTATTTTTTCATTATATTGGTATGCAAAAAAATTGCAACTTATAGTACTTTTCGTATAGTTTTTGAATATCTAAGTTTTTTGTTTAAAATATTGAATTAATGTAATCTAATTTAACTTCGAAAATTAGTCAAATTGACTTTTGAAAAGCGCAACATGACAAATAAAAGTAGACAGAGGGAGTAGTGGTTTTTAGTTTGAATTTTTTAAAAATCAAATATTTTTATATTAGTAATTATAAATTGAGAAGTTACCTACGGTTAATATAACTTCTATTTTTCAATTTCAATTTTATTCTTTTACAAAATAAGCAAAAACGTGTAGTTACTTTTGGAATCAACTTCCCTGAAATGGTAACAATCATTGCTTACATATTTTTATTTAGAAGAAAAAAAAAAAGCAAAAACGTGCAGTTATAACTTATGGAATCAAGTTGCCGTGGAATCAGCAAAAACACATTGTCTACATATTTTCTTCTATATTATTGTATTTGAAAGAAAAAAAAAGTATAAAAAAAAATTCTCTCCAATCTTCTATGCAACTCACTTTTTATTTTTCAATTTGAAAATTGCACAATTTAAATCCCTTTTTTCTTATTTTTCCGTATGTAAACTACACATGTTCGAGCTGAGAAAAATAAATAATCAAGGCAAAAAATTGGAGTTACAAAATATAATATTTTATTTTCTATGAATCCTCAGATTCTTCTTTTTGAATATAAAATCAAGGGTCTTTGAGCCTGATCTTGAATTTGTCAGGTTTGATCTTTGATGGATTTGATCTCGACTTGTACTTGAATTCAAGGGTTTGTGAACTTGTTCTTGAATTTGATGGTCTTGATCTTAAGTTGTGAATTTGATCTTGACTTGTGCTTGATTTCAAGGGCCTTTGAACTTGTTCATGAATCTGGTGGTCATGATCTTCAGTTGTATCTTAAACTCAAGTGCTTAACGCTTGAACTCGTAGCTTGTTGAAAAATCTTTGTGTTTGATCCACGAGTTCAGGCTTCTTGTTCTTGAAAGACTCATCCTTTGAGAATAATGACGACCCCTTTTTGTGGTGTACCCGTGAGATTTGATTGGTCGATTAATCGATTTGAACTGATTATGTACATGTGACATTATTCTAGTGGCTCATTTAATTTGACTTGGATTGCCACATAACTTTGACACGTGACATGATTCTAGTGACTCATTTAATTTGACTTGGATTGCCAATACAGTATATATATATTGTATTGGTATCATTAAGGCTGATAATTTCGTTGAATTGATATTAAATCAACATATATAGATAATGTATTGGTATCGTTTAGGTTTCTTGTTAAGAAATACTCATTAGTTAGTGATACTATAAGAGTATATATATACTCTTATAGTATCATTGACTAATGAGTAATTTCTAAACAAGAAATTACTTGATACCATAACATATATATATATATATACACTCTTATAGTATCACTGACTAATATGTAATTTCTGAACAAGAAACATTAATGATACCAATACAGTATATATATATACTGATTTAGTATCAGTTAAGTGAAATTATCAACCTTAATGATACCAATACATTATATGATACCGATTTAGTATCAGTAAAGTGAAAATTATCACCCTTAATGAATGGGGGTATTGTAACACCCCAGAAAATTTTTAAGCTAAGACTCGAACCGTTCTTCATAGTGAGTGAGATTTTTGCAAGGAATTAAAAATTTCTTAAGTCTTAAGGTCACTAGAGGTAGCATCTTAAGTTTCAAGAAGAACTTAATTGGATATTTTTGGTGTCATTGCTGTCTATCCTATAATTGTTTTACTTCAAGCAAGATTTCACTACTTGGATATTTTTGGTGTCATTGCTGTCTATCCTATAATTGGATATTTTTGGTGTCATTGGAAATTAAAAAATGTATTTTTGCTGTTTTATACAATAGAATGTATCCTATAAGCAACATTCACCTTACATGCTTTTTTTCTTTTACAGGGATGTACAAAAAAATGAAGATGATGGAGGACTTGGTGGCACGGGAACCCAAAAACACTGGCCCTCGCTCGGAAAGAGGAGGAAGAATATAGAAAAACCATGAGACAGCAAATAGAAAAGATTGTAAAGAGAACTGAAAAAATAACAAGACTATAATAAGGCCTACCTGTCTGGATGAGGAATCTCTAACTGCAGAGCTATTGTATTGCAAAAACTGAGATGTAAAGCTAGGGAAGTTCGAGAAAACAACTGAGATTTGGATCCGGTTGTGAACTATGTCATTAAATTGATGCTTCGACACAGCATTTCGCAAGATTTCTTTCTTCAGCAAGGCAGCAGTGACTTCTGCAAGAAGTTCGATCCACAGAATTATTGATAGTTTTTTTTTTTTTTTAGTAGAGTGTAGTATGTACTCTGACCTCTTTAGAGAAACACATGAAAGATTTTGTCTTTGTATGTCATCCTTGTCACTGTCCCTATACTAGTGGCATATAGTTTACACAAACAGTAGCATTTTCTACTTCTTTCTTCTGCTTATATATGCTTCTGTCTAACTTCATTTTCATTTTTGAATCTTGTGGTCTTAATCATGTCACGTGAAATGTTGAAATTATGGAGTTGCCAAAAAAGGAAAGAGACATTTTGTTTTGAACAGAATAAAAATTTAAGACGAACTAATTGAAACAGAGGGAGTAACTTACAAGGGTCATCTTTGGGTACAATGAATGAACTAATACTCAGTCAGCTAATTTAGGCTTGTACAGTGGAGGATCTTCCCAAGCAAAAGTGATTTTAAGACAGCTTCACACACAACAATATCATAACACAAGTAAATGGCCACCATCAGGAACTTCATGATACTGAATCCAAGGAAACATTTGCTCTACATATTTTTATAATTAAACCGGAATGAACTTGTCCTCGTAACCTTACCATATGTGAACAGAGCTTTTGTTTTGTGGGTACGGGTTACATACCTCCAGCCTCCAGTGGATCAAAAACCCATAAATGCCACAATAAAGTCATGACAAAGGGAGTCGAATACCCTCCATTTCCTTATCCCATCCTGCCAATAGAAGTAAAATTTGTTACAAAATAGTTCCTACACTTGTATACATTAGTATGAAATCAATGGCAGCGAATGGACGGGTATATATCCTATGGAATCCACGATGGTATGATGTTATACAGATTGAAGAGGAGGCTCAATTCTTACATTGCTTAGTGAAAGGAAGAACTGATGGATTTGAAGTCGTAGTCACTGTCATATATGGCTTTAACAATCTAGAACAAAGGAAGTCAATGTGGCTGGAACTACATAGAATTGGACAAACGGTGAATAAACCTTGGTTGTTGTGGGGGTGATTTCAATGCTGTATTATCGCCAAAGGACAGACTAATGGGTAATCATACAGGATTTTTCTGACTCTGTACAACACTTATCCCTAAATGAACTATCTTGGAAAGGAGAATTTTTCACCTGGACAAACAAGCAACCAGGGGCTAATAGAATATGGAGTAGACTGGATGGAAATTTTGACTGGATGATGAACTGGGGATATGTGCAGGTTGAGTATGACTTGCCCATGATCTCTGACCACTCCCCCATGGTTCTTAAATTACACGCAGCACCCCAGGTTAACAAGACTCCGTTCAGATTCTTCAATGTCCTAGCTGATCATGAAGAATTCTTTCCTATAGTCAATGAAGTATGGAGACAACAAAAGGACCAATAGAGTATGAAGAATGTATGGCTTAAGCTAAGGGCACTCAAGCCATTACTCAAGAAGCTGAATAACAGAGAATTCAAGAATGTGAGGCAACAAATTGACAATGTCAGGATAGAGTTGAAGGTAGTCCAAGCACAATTTACTAGGCAATGTAGCAATGGGCTAATCAATGTCGAAAAGACTCTCCTCCAGAATCTAGAAAAG